CACAAGAAGCATGGGATACTCTTAAGAAAGAGTTTGATGGTAGTTCTCGGGTTAAAGGTAACAAGATTGTAACCCTCAAAAGACAATTTGAAATGCTGAAAATGCAGGAGATAGAGGCAGTCCATCAATATACAAATAAATTGATGGATGTTGTCAACCGAATCAGACTTCATGGTGAGGAATTTCCAGATCGAAGGGTGGTGGAAAAGATTATTGTTAGTATACCAGATAAATTTGAGTCTAAGATTTCTGCCATAGAGGAATCTTGTGACCTCAAAGAGCTAACCATCATTGAGCTTATAAGCAAGCTTCAAGCTCATGAGCAAAGGCTGGTTATGAAAACTGATGAAACTACAGAAGGAGCCTTCCTTGCAAGGCAAAAAGGCAAACAACCAGCCATTAGTTCTGAAAGCAATAAGACCATGGGTTTTAACCAAGCATATCAACAGCATCAGCAAAGTAGAAAAGGGAGGTTTCCTCCATGTTGTCATTGTCGAAAAACAAACCATGAAGAAAAAGATTGTTGGTTCAAAGGCAAATGACAGATTCAGTGCAGATTTTGTAAAAAGTATGGCCATTTTGAGAAGAATTGTAGGGCTAAGCAACAGCGACAGCATCAAACACAACATCAGCAAGCTCAGTACAGACCAAAGCAACAACAGCAAGTTAATTACGCTGAAGATCAGTGCAAGGAGGACTACTTGTTCACAATGTCATAAGGTTCATCTCTGCCATCTAGTAGCTGGTTTGTTGATAGTGGATGCACTAATCATATGGCCCGGGATGAAAATTTCTTCATTGAAATGGACAAATCAGTTATTACAAATGTCAAGTTAGGAAATGGTACTGTGGTGAGATCACAAGGGAAAGGTACTGCTGTTATTCAAACTAAAACAGGTACAAAGCAAATTATTGATGTCCTATTTATTCCTAGCTTGAGCCAAAATTTGCTTTCTGTTGCACAAATGATGAAAAAGGGATACACTCTATCTTTTGTGCATGATTCTTGTTTTATTTATGACCCTACTGGTGATGAGATAGCTAGGGTGAAAATGGTAGAAAATAGCTTTCCTTTGGATTTGGAAAAGGTGCAGCAGTGTTTTTCTACTTCTAAAATTGTGGATGCAGATTTATGGCATAAAAGATATGGTCATTTCAATGTCAAAGGGCTAAAATTTATGCAAACACATGAGTTTGTTCGAGATTTGCCAGAATTGTAGTTCATTGACAGTGTTTGTGAAAGTTGTCAATTAGGCAAGATGCATAAGTTGCCTTTTCCTGTGAATAAATCTTTTAGAGCAACTCAGAAGCTTGAACTGGTGCATACGGATATTTGTGGCCCTATGAGAACACCATCTCTCAGCCAAAACAGATATTTCATCCTCTTTATTGATGACTTTACAAGAATGACATGGGTATACTTTCTTGGCAGCAAAGGGCAAGCCTTGCCTGTGTTCAAAAAATTCAAAGCTTTGGTTGAAAACCAAAGTGGATGCAGAATTAAGAAGCTCAGATCGGATAATGGCAAGGAGTATACCTCCAATGATTTCAATTTGTTTTGTGAAGAAGCTGGTGTTGATCATCAATTGACAGTGTCTTATACTCCACAGCAGAATGGCATTGCAGAGAGGAAAAATAGAACTGTTATGGAGATGGCAAGGTGCATGTTAGCAGAGAAGAAATTGCCTAAATGTTTTTGGGCTGAAGCAGTTTATACAGCTGTCTATCTCTTACATGGTCTACCAACAAAGGCAGTAAAAGGCATGACACCTATTGAGGCTTGGTATGGTAAAAAACCATCAGCTGATCACTTGAAGGTGTTTGGTTCA